AGAATATTTCTTTAAAACTTGATTCAATTTATTATTTGTCGTCTTATTTTAAGCAACTTACTTGTAAATCTTCATGTTTTCGACAATTAATAATTTCTCATTCCTTTTACTTTCTCGACTAGAAGTCACTGCTTATCTAAAATACCTCTTTCAGATATAAAATGTCTAAAACATTTATCTTAGCATAAATAAAAATGCATTGAAGCATTAATTTTCAAATAATGCGATTTTTATAGTTTGAATTTATGCTACTTTTATCTTTAATTTGTACTTAATGTCTCATTCTTCGGAAATGTGATTACTAAAGATTTAAAACAGCCTGGTACTTTCTTTTCCTGAGGAGATGCGAGTGAAGTTTTTAGTGTTTAATATATTATTTTGTTATAATTTTTGTCGAAAGCTTCGCACTCAGTTTTAATTGCTGTACTTCTTCGAGGCTATTGTTTAATCCAATATCAGCTCAAATATTGTTTTAATTGATTTCAATATTTTGTATTAATTTTGCAAATATCCTTTGCTCTCGGTTTAGGCATAGTAATTGCATAAACAAATAACCAAATGAACAACATGAATATATACGGAGAATTTGAAAAAGATATATGTAGGCTTCATTTTTTTAAATACTGAAATTAGATAAGTACTTTTAATTGCAAAGTTTTTCAAAATGAGAGAGACAATTTTATGAAAGTAGTTTCAGAAATAGGACTAAGTGGGTACTATAAATGAACGATTTAGTGTGATCACTATAGAACAAATATTCAACTAATGTACATTGAGCCTCAATAATTACATACAGAAAGCTCCATACATTTAAGTTCAAAATTCGCATAGTTTTAATCAGTAGTCTCCTGGGGTGAGTCAATTACGAGTGCGCAAAGAATGAGTTTTGCTGTAAGTTTTCTAAATAAAGCCGAATCGCTTAGTTGCCACTGAAGAGTGGTCTAAGTCTATATATTCGTACTAAAACATTTTTACGATTTTTTCTTGCAAACATATGGATGGACCTTTTTGTATTTCACTTAAGAGAAAATCTTAACACGTTGTGACCAACTGCAGTTTATTTTAATATAAGCACTTTATAATGCTATGTTTTATATTTACAAAACATTTCTCCTCGAAATTGCTAACATAATATTTTATAAATCTCTTTTCATAAAATATTTTACTTTATTTTGAAAAAATTCGTAATTGTAAGTACATGCATAGGATCAATGTTTAAGGAAACGTATGTTTTTCCGACGGAAAGGAAGCATTATATAGAACACTTAGGTAATGTATAGAATGTCGATAACTAAACATCAGTGTTATACCACAAGTCAATAACAATCACACGTCACTAATATCTACTAGTAAATGCGATAACTTCTCAACGTCTTAATAGTATGTTATTTTACTATGTATTTCTTAAAGTGTAATGAAATATTTATATGTTACTTTAGCTATTACAAGTTAATGTCTCATATTGATGATACTGGAGTTTTTAAACGCATTATATAACAGTTTCATACTCTAAAGAAATCTATGAAGTTTTACTGAAGGCAACATAAACGGAAAACACTTTTTATGAAATATTACGGACTAGGAAATGCTTTTCGAACTGTCAGAATTAAACTGAGATATTGACGGCAAGCTGAAGTATAGCACTGAAAGCATTTCAGAATGATTTCAGATTGATTGTTCTTTTTTATTCTGAAACTAAATGTAGGACTACTGGGGTCAAATTTCGTTTCCCGATTTCAAGAAATCGTAGCTCTACAATGAGTACCTTCATAACTTGACAATAATCGCATCAGAAATCCAAATGAATGGAGCTATTTGAAATAAGAATAATTGGGTAGAATTTTTCTTTAGTGCAAATGCGTATTTATTACAATGACAAGTAGTTTTTTTATTATCATATTTCACTTCACCAAAGATTATGCAGATAAAAAACTAATATTTTTGTTTCTGAAAAACAAATATATACAAAATGTATTTATTCTAAAAAATTAAGCAATGCCATATTTATTTTCTTAAACACTTAACCTATTTCTAATTAGACTACAATAAAACAACGATTTAAATTTTTGTTTACATAAATTCTAAAAATTAATACCTTAATATTTTAAAAACAAACAAAAAAACAATAATCTTAGTTTTTAAAATTAAACTCATAGCCTATTATTATTTTTCTTGTTCTAAAATCACAAAGATTATTTTTTATTTACATAAAATAAAACACGTTAAAGGATTTTTATTCAATTAAAATTAAATAAAAAGTTATTTTTAATGTCATAAAATAACAAAATGTGCACCCTCTTTTATTATATTTACTGTTTGTAATTATGATTTTAAAGAAAGGATAGAATATCTTATGAGAACTCATCTATTTAATTTTAACTAACAGTTAAGTTTTAGTGATACTGGATTTTCCTTTCACTCTCTTATCATGCCAGAATGTAAATGAAATAGCGTGAATTTATTCAGATTAAGGTAGAAAGAAGTGCTATTTAACCCTTTGACTACGAATTAAAAAAAATATTACCCTATTTAATATCCAAGTGAACAAAATATGTCTTAAATAAGGTAAACTTAGCATTTGGGATTTTTTTACAAACGGGTTTCAAGCCAAAGCCTGTGACACATATGCCCCGGCCGTAGTTAATGGTGGGATACTTCATGTCTCACACGTAGTGATCGACTTAATATAAGCCCACCTATTAATCTGGAAAACTTTATTACGTGAAATAGATTTTACATTGTATGGTACAGGGTAAAGCATTCTTTGCTTATCCGTACATTACATATTGGGCAACTGATAGTCGTTCTTTTCTCTCTATTCATTTGTGTACAACGAACATAGCGGCGTCTTGATTTTCCTACTATTGGAAGATGATCCCCAACATTCAGGAGATTCAAAGTACTTTTTAACTCAGCAGTAATTTTTAAAATTTTAGTGGGACAGATATGTTCTGTTAATAGTCAAAGATTTAAGCAAAGGTTTCACAAGTTAATTTTAGAGCGTGTTCTGCCTATTTTAGGCCACGTTGTAATGCGACTTATTAGCGATTTGATTCTGTGGCGTTGAGTGCTTCTAGCCATTGAGCTTGTCTCGCCGGTTTTCTACAAACCCGAACCTTTCCTGCGCTTTACTAATCTTGTGAGCCGTTAGGCTAATATATTCCATTTGATTTTAGTTCACGTTACGTATTTAAGTTTAGCCATAAATTTTGGCTTGTGTAAACCCAAGTTGAGTCATTGTTGACCAATTTGAATCTTTGTGTTCGAATAAAAGCGTCTTATTTACCCTTCTTCTGACTTTTCTATTTTGTTTCACACGGGAGTGCCAGAGGATTCCAGTCTATTTTGTTGTTACTAAAAATTTCAAATTTTCACTATTCGAATTTACTTTTGAAGAAAATAATAGTATGCATAATAACTTTCTAACAACAATGTATTATTTATCTGGGCAGATGTCCAGAAGACTTTAAAAAACAGTATGAAAATAAATTGTAAAGTGTTATTCCATTCCATTGTGCGAACACTTTTGCTTAGAAGTTAGGGCATTTCGCTAACAATTGTAAGATCCATGGGCTGAATCCCAATGAAAGCCTAGTTGATTTTTTTTATGGTTCCTGGCTTCAGAAACCCTATCGGCCTCTACAAAGTTATAGATCTGGTGAGAGAAATTCCTCACAATTTCCCGATCTATCTTTCCCTAAGTAGTCGATGATTTAATTACTTGGATCTCTAAAACCTTTGGTAATTGGATTTCCAGTGTCCGCCGATACTGGGCGACCTTCATCTCTGTTTTCCACGCTTGCTTTTTAAGTTCTTTCTGCTAGTAATTTTGGAATCTGGACAGAAACGAAAGAAATCGGTTTTGTGAGAGCATTGTTTCTAATTATGGCAACTAAACGCAAGACGGCTGTGATTTCATTTCAGGGGTAAAACACATTTGCCAAATACATTATCATATCATAGAGAAATCAACAACATGTTCATCAACAACATCAATCAACAACATCAACAACATGGAGTGTTACATTACACTTCGCTTTTCATTTTGTTAACTGTTGCTTGTTGAAGGGGAAAAAAACTTTCTTATTCTAGATTTGTTTTTAGAGTCAACCTACGATGGCATTTGTGTCTGAATGAAAGAAATCTGTTTGTGTGTATCAACTATGGCATCTAAAATGCTAAATAACTTACTTTCTGTATATAATAATCTAGAAATTATAAGTTACTTACAAAAAATAAAGTGATTAATAATTTTGGCACCTCGGAAAATCACAACATTTTACATTATTTTCCCTTCATTGTTCTATCGAAAAATTTTATTCATATTTTTTATATTTCATAAAATAGTTTAAAGCAAATGTACACAATATAATATTACTTATAAAAGTATTTATTTATAATTAGAAGCAAAGTATGTAAAATCTAAAAAAACACCTTTTTATTTAAAATAAATAGTTCAATAATTCTTGAATAAACTGGTTGCATACAAAAGTAATTTTAAATAATCGTAACTGAGTATCTGAATCAATACTGGTTTCTCTCATTTCCAGATATCCAAACTCTATCGGGCAAATCAATTTTTCTGAGTCCAATTAATTCCTCTTGTTAACTGATATGGCTTAACATTGAAGCTTTTAAAATATTTTCTCCTTCCTTTCGGCATACTTTCTTGGTGTAAATGTATAGCACGTCCGGCTAGCAAATAGTGAGGTCCGTGTTCGAATTTCGGGCGGGGCATTTCATATAATACTTTTACGTATTTTACTAATTTTAAGTTCATGCTTAAAACGTCTAGCAGTTGGTAAATACGAGGGGATTTATATTCCATGAAGCCCTTAAGTAAATTTGGAAAAAAAAATAAATTTCCTTCATTGTAAGGTAAAAGGTCCCCAAAAATTCGAGTGAAGCAGAGACATTACTGTATAGATCCGCTACTGATTACGGTTATAATTTTATGTTATTTATTATGTATTCATTTCTTCATTTACTTGCAGTTATAAAACGAGATCAAAAGACCCAGAATCAAGCTGCCAAGTTGTTGCATTAGAAGCACTTTGATTTTACTTTCCTACTACACTTCCATATAATTCTTTTTGTCCTCGCACGAAGACGCGAAACATTCAGACAACGAAGTTTTACTCAGACAAATGAAGGTAAGTTCGTTTCAGCAATATCACTTTTATTTTTCTTACGTAATCTTAAGTAAGAAATCATTCTTTTATACTTTCGAGTACTGAAATTATAAATGCACGAAACAACTGAATTTCTCTCATATGCTAAATATTTTGAATTAAATACCCGAAAAGAAGACTAGTTATTTTTTCTGCATGAATAGTCATCTTCGAAATGTTCGTAGAGAAATTATTGAATTTTCTAACAGGACAAACCTGGGTAACTTGAGAAATGTTAATTTTATGTGTACGTTTATAACTGATGTTATACTATTTATAACTGATGTTAAATCAACATGTTGGAAATATCCACAATTTAAAACCAATTAGAAAAACTGGAATGAAACTTTTCTTAAGAAGATAATACCAAAATAACAAGTTAACGAAGCAGTTAAGAATAATGCTTGGGTCACATTTTACTATAGAAAAATAATGCTTGGTTTCCACACTTAACATTCGACAGCCCTTGTTCTACTACATTATTGTTCTATGCGGTCTTCTCACCTAGCAACTGGTATGCCTCTCCTTTCTTCTTTGTGGTGAAAGCGTTCTTCCTGCATGTGTAAAATCGATATACATGCATTTCTTCTATTTTCAAAAGTAGACTTTCTTTCTTGCGGAATTGTGAAAGATTGCGCAACTGGGATGAGAAACGGTTTTCTATTAAGAAGAAAATTTCACAGATGTTTTATTACACTCTTTGCTAATCACCTTTAAAAGGAATATTTACATATTAAGCAGAATAACCAAAGAATATATGTACTAAATCTTTTTGCTTGCAAAAGATTCTCGAAATAAATTGCGTTTGTAATCTAAGATGAAACAACTTATGCAATAAAATCAATTCTTTAGAAAACGAAATGAAAACTAAATAGCGTAACAACAATCTTGAGTATCTTACGTCTTATATTGTTATCGTTCCCAAATTACCGAAGCTCAGGAGTGGGCAGAGCGATAAAATAATTAAACACTGGTAGTTCGGCATGGTTTCGTTTCCATGAAAACGAGCTGGCTGCCTAAGCTTTTTTGTGGTTCTTCATGTGTAGCACAGACTTGAGCTAGCTTTTCTTAGAAAGTCCTCCACAAAAAATTTCTTTCCCTTAGGCAGATAGCTCTCGCGTATTTTTCCATAATCAGCTAAAGCAAATTAAACCAAATCTAATTATAGGAATTATTGTTAATTTTTAAAGTTGCTGTTAGGATTTATCTCAAAATGTAGTAGTATAGGGAAAGCGCTTCAAAAGCAAAGGAAACATAAATGCGTAAGGAAAGCAAATTATGGCAAAGCTGCAGGAAGCCAACATAAAAACATCAGTAACAAGATATTAAAGAGTAGCTCCAATTAAAAAATATGTATTTGGCTTTAATCGCTTACTCATCGAATTCAGTTGGAATTTTTCTCACAGTGGCCGATTGGTTAAGCTCACTGAAAGCTGGGGGATCATTGATCTACCTGAGTTTGATACCATGAGAAAGATGGACTGCAGATTTGATTTTCGTGGTTTCACCAATGCGTAACTTTACTATGAGCCAGTTTGCCTTAAGAAATCCTCCACAAAGACCTCCCTTCCCAAATGCAGATAGCTGCTGTGTGCTTTACCATATTCAAATAACCTAACAGTCAGTTACTATTAAGTTTCATTTAACTAGCAAAGGATGTATTCTGAGTGCATCAAGTCTTTTTTTTTTTTCCTTTACCAGAGTCATTACTCAGCGTTAGTGACGTAAAATGAAATAACTTAATAAAAGTTCAACAATTCTAAAATAAGAAATAACTGTTAAATAATATGGTAACCGTCTGGGCAGCTTAGATTTGAAAATTCATCTTTGATAGTAACAGTTTTTCTATCGGATTCATTTACTACTCAGTAAGTTTCTATTTTTTGTTCCTATTCCGTTGCCATATGGTTCGACAAATAAAATATGTATGAAAGCATTTTAAGTCAAGTTTAATAAAAGGTACATAAAAACCAGTTTTCGCAATAATCTGTGCCTTATGTGACTAAAAATAAAAACATTGGTATTTTATCAAAAAATTGACAAAGAAAAATTTAAATTAGCTGAATATTTTCTCTCCGGGCTTACCAGTGGCCGAGTGAAGAAGACTGCTTAATATTGTGTGCTACCAAGGATGACCAATGACCTCACATTTAAGTAAGTATCTTCCAGTGCATCATCATCCTGGCAGATGGAAAAACTCAGCCTGAAAATGGACGGCGTAAGTATTCTGACTAATCAAGATTTACGGAATAGAGGACATACATAAATACACAAGGTTCATAACACATATAAACCAGGTTCATTACGTAAATATACAAGCTTCTGGTGAGTACATTCATTGTATAAATTAATACACTCATTGCTTGTTTTCATCCGTTATTTACTTGCTGTTTACAGGACCTTTATGATAACAATTTGCGTTCGTGTACCCAATAATCCTGATTAATATTATGACACACTGCGAAAACAAAAGGGAGAGTTTTTTTTCTTCCGTTCTACTGGGCTGATTGCGAAGTTCAAATAGCGTTTTTCATGTCTCGAAAGGGCGACTTAGGATATATATTAAACTTATATATAGCTTTTTTCTAATATAGGTATTTTGACACAAAATCGGACTTTTCCTGAAATAAACCCAGTTGTTTTCTATATTTCGATTCTACCACTCAAATTATGCCTAAATATTAAATTTTGTAAAATTTGATGCGAAATTTACGAAAACACTTATTTTGGCGTATTTTTTTCAGTTTGCGCGAATAATAATTCATTTGGCGAGCTTCCTAATTTATGGCGACCTATTTTCTTTTTCCTTTTTACATTGTGCATGAGAGGGAAAAAAGTCACATCTTTTCTACTTTCAAATAATTTTTAACAAAGTGCGTAAACCACATTAGATGTTATTATCGTTTTCAGCAAATATGCCGAATTTCAAAACGCGCTAATATATAAATTCGCGTATATCTTCGGAAATTTTGAATAAAAAGCTCTAATACTTTGCAGGTATGCTTAGAAATACATCTACTTTAAGATGAGGGTAAAACTTTTATAGGTTATATTTCAAAAGGTATTTCGAAAAAATTATAAAAATTATTTAAAAATACAAAATTAAAAAATAAATCGTAAAAAATGGGTGAGTTTTATTTCGAAAGAACCTAAATTTCGAAGTGTCAAAGAAGTAATCAAGCAAGTTTAATAAAAAAAGAGATATTAATAAATACATACCAAATTGAATTAACATTGAGGCGCTAAAATTTCGAGAGCTATTTTTTTAAAAACTATGCGTGCGACTTTTACAAAACTTGGCAGTTTGACCTAATTTTGAGTCGTAGAATCTAAATATGGAAAAAACCTGGCATGTCATTTCAAAAAAAGCCCGATTTTGCGTCCAAATACCTATATTAGAACAAAGCTATATATAAATGTAATATATATCCTAAGTCGCGCTTTCGAGACATGAAAACGCAATCTGAAATTTTCTTCAATCGGCCCAGTATAACGGTTTGCGCAGTGTACATGAAGGGATTGAGTGCCAAAAAAAAGTCCGAAACATTATATAATAGATATTTACAGTTCTGTTACAGAGATATATATGGTGATACTTTAAGTTATTATTACTAATATTGAGGGTGTGGTAGTTGTAAAGAAAGTATCATTGTTAATGTACCAAACCTTGAGAATCAGTGGTGCTATTAGCGTTAGTGTTAGAAAGTTATTAGCGTTTGTGTTAGCTATTGTTAGAGCATTAGTGTTAAAATATTATTAATCCTTTAAGCGGCAAGGCCGTATATATACGGCCTAGAATATTTATTGTGATGTCTGTAAGAACGTACGTGCATATTAAAATATGTCAACGAAATTAAGGCAATATATCAAAAGAAAACAAATCCAGGTATGAAATACCAGTAGAGTTTTTACATTAAAATAAAAAAAAAATTTGTTCTCATAGTAGTTTTTGGAAATTTGTGCTTTTTTAGCGAAAACCCTGGCCGCCCAAAAATGCCCTATCATTTTCAGAACAACATATTTTATTTATATACACAAAAATGGACAAAATATTTTATTGCACACAGTCTGATGATGTTCTCAATCTTATGTTTGGCCTGCTTATTTTCACAGGCATTCTCGGCCCATTGCGGCCAGTAGGCCCTGCTAAGAATGTTTCAGTGCTCAGTTCTGAATACTGGTAATTCGACCAATATTCGGTCGTAAAAACAAGCTGGTCAAACGTAATGGTAATTCGACAGACTTCAGATCTAAACGATGGGTTGACTGTGTGGGTGCTTTTGGAGATTTCCACCATGCGTAACATAGATACAGCCAGTTTCCCTCTAAAGGCCCTCTGCGAAGGTCTTTCTCGTTTTAAGCAGACAGCCGTTTTGTCCTTGGCATTATTTAATCAATCACTCAAAAAAACCAACTTTTTTTCTCTTATAAATCATTTCTGTGGTTCTATCGCTTCTCTTGATTTTTAAAATTTCTTTATTATTCCAGTGTAGTGAGATGTCACTAGGATTTTATTTTTAGTCAAACGTGGTTAAAAAAGAACGTTGTTTTAGTCTACAAAATTATTATTATTGCATTTTAAGATATTTTACTAAAACAGAACAAATTAAAAGTTTTTGTATACATTATATTTTACACTTTTTAATAAATTGTGTATTTATAGTTTTATTCGCATTTTGAATTTTTTTAACCATCTGCATACTAATCAAAAGTATTCTGTGCACCTTTAATCAATTTTTAATAGTGGCCTGGAAAAAGAATAATTACTTTGAACTCTACTCACAAAGCCCTTTCCATCGGCGCTCATAATTTATTATTATTAATTTTGGGGCAAGTACGAGTTCAGTTTAATTTTCTCATTAAGTTCTTTTGATACAAAATAAATTTATTATTTCAACTATGTCAATATAAGAATTCGGGAAGTGATCAATCTAAACTGATGAAATATTACATAGTCATTTCAATTACTTATGTATGCAACA